GATAATACAAACAAATAGAATATATATTTCCTTAATCTCCTAGCCATATCTAAAAGTTACCAATTAGAAGTTACTAAAGGTGTATTCCACCCGAAAGTGATCTTTTTTCTTTCCCTTTGTTTATAGAGAGCAGATGCAATACTTATTTTAGAGGGATGTGGTGACAGAGGTGTGGAGATAAAAATACTTTATGCTAAGTATGAAAAAAATTCAAATGAGTGTGCTTAAAATGTATGTAACTTTCAAGAGTGACGAGGTCATGGAAAGCTATAATTTATCGTTTCTATTTTATTTTGTTTGATGTTTGTGAAGAAAGGTATCTTTATGCCAATGTATTTCTTCGTAGCACAAAAGTATATGTTAGGCAGTGAGTAATGGAAAAGAAAGGTGTATTTGATTTATATGTGCGAGAGTATGAATTTTGGTTCCTAGGTCTAGCTAGTTGGCTAACTAGTATTGGTTTCATGACTTGGTAACAATATATAACTTGGTCCGTCAACCCTTAGTTCACCGAGAAAACATTATCTTGTAAAGGTAGGCGCTTTGTTTGAGATGTGATTGCTGAGTGCTTCAAACCATCAAAATTGATTTCAGATTTCCTTTCTTTTGACTGGTAAGTTCTGTATTTGTGATTAATAAAGGAACCCTATTAAAAGGGGAAACAAGTCAAGTATTTTTGTTTGAAGAGTTTTTAAAATACCACTACATGCATACTATGTTGTAACAGCCATTCAATGTCTATATTTTAATTTCAATTGTTCTTCCCCACAATGTAAATAAGCATCTTAAGTGTTCCATAATTTTGATTCTATTTTTAAAATGGGTGGTAGAATCTCTGCAAGTAATGCTATGTAATTAGCTACATAGCTCCCATACTGAAGACATGAATGATAGAAGCTACCGTTTCCAAAGCACAATGAGAAATTCAAGGACGCTTTGAAGGTAAATAAGAACTCTTTATTTTCTAGTACCTTTTAAATATTTACTCATGATTCAAGACATGTGTGTTTTTATTTGACCATGTTATGACCTTAATCTATAGTCTGATAGTGGTTGCCAAGGTTAAGCATGAAAGTTATGAAATGGAAAGATTACTACTTTTCATTGTGATTTTTGTCTTATACTAAGTTCTTGTTTTGCATATATGCCATAAATTCAACTTCTCGTAATTTTGGAGTCTTAGTTTGTTTTTCCAATAATCTTAAATAAATTTCATTAGTAATATAACTGTACGTATCTTAGTTAGAATTGATAAAGTCATTTGTGTTTCTGCATGTTTGTAAGAGTATGTGAAATAGCATGTAATTGTCTGTGTACACCAACATTAATGTATGTACGCTTCTTATTGCTAACTTTGTTGACACTGGTTGTGGTTACAGCGCTAGAGAGTGTGGAGTCATGGTCATGGCGTTTGCGGAGAATTTGTTGTTGCAATTACCATTAAAATCAGGTTGTGACTACGCCAACATGTGGAACGTTAGATGTCAGTTTGCTATACCACTTTGGCGTCTGAAGAAGAAACTGATTGACATTTATTGCTCCTTTTTCACTTGTAAATAAGTTGGAGATGAAGTGGGGTAGCGAATGTTGAAGTTTTAGATTTGGATTTGAACATGACATTAAGTTTGTTGTAATGTAATTTAACGTGTCTTCAATTTTTATACTTGTGTGATTAAAGACAACTTATATTACTACTCGTGAACTTGGACCGCAAGTCCCAAGCGCAAATGTATGAATTTTATATTTAAATTTGAATGTGACATTGGGTTTGATGTAATGTAAGGATCATGGTTTATGCATTTTGATACTGTTATAGGTGACAGACTTGTTATAACCACACATTAAGTACTTATACAGACACTATTGTCGGTGCACACAGACAAAAATAACAACACACGTATTATTGTCGGTGCACACAGACAATAATAGGAATAAGACACAAGTATTATTGCAGTGCACATGAACAATAATTACAACAACACAAGTATTATTGTCGGTGTACACAGACAATAATAACAACAATACACATATTACTATTGGTGCACACAGACATTAATAATAAACACGCCTATTACTGTCGATGGACATAGACACATTTCATTAACATACAATATGATACCGCAAACACATTCCATTACATAAACTTACAACTGTTTATACAAATAGAGGAAATGTTTACAAAATGTAGATGCATTAAAGTTTGACATTCAAGTTACAACCTTGTACAAAATTTAATGTCATGTTAAAATCTAAATCTAAAACTTCAACATTTGCGATCACCACTTCATCTGCAACATGAGGAACATTGACTCGCTTTTTCCCGGCTCTTACCTAAATAAATGCAACATATGTGTTAGTGCAATTTAAAAGACAACACATTGATATATGCACAGACGATAATAACACGTAAAAATATACAATTGCCTGTGCAAACAGACATTATGCTCTGCAAAAGAATGTATTCATGTTATTCACAAACAACAATACGAAGATCACAAACAAGTCACCTGAATCTCACAGACAACATATGAAACTCACAGACAAGTAATATTAAGGTCATGGAGAACCATATTAACCATATTAATTACTCGTATCGGTACTCAGACAATATAGGAAGCTCTGTATGACACTCTTGACAAAGGGTGTATGACACTCTTGAGAAAGGGTGTTCAAACCAGTATAGGAAGCTCCTTGATCAAGTGGGTGGGTTCCTTCGCCAACAGTCTGATAATTCACACATGTAGTAACGTATCAGTACTCACAGACAATATAAACCGATGGTGTCTCTGGCACATAATGAAGAAGTTACCTGAAAAGATGGGTGGACTTGTACATAAAGATGATATCATGACAGCCATACATGATGCCGTTTATGACTCTCAGTACATTACGACCTTTGAGGAAGATTGGAAAGCCATGATTGAAAAGGTACACTCCAATATTCATTAACTAAGTTTCACTTTTTACGTGTCACAGATAGATTATGTATTGCACGGACAAAAAGTATTGGTGTAGTTTATTTCATGAGTAGGACCTTTTGGCACTTAAAGACACCTTAACGACACTTTTTGCATTTCACAGACAGAAAGTGTCGGTATACCTTATTTCATGCCTGGGACCTTCTGTCACTTACAGACACCATACCGACACTTTGTGAATTTCACAGACAGAAAGCGTCGGTGTACCTTATTTCATGCCTAAGACCTTCTGCCACTTAAAGACACCACACCGACACTTTGTGAATTTCACAGAAAGAAAGTGTCAGTGTACCTTATTTCATGCCTGGGACCTTTTGCCACTTAAAGACACCGTACCGACACTTTGTGAATTTCACAAACAGAAAGTGTCGGTATATTCTCGTACGCCCAAACCTATACAAATGGAAAAAGGGTGATAAATATTTGTTATTAAATATAGTAAGTATGTGTGTTTATATTGGATCATACCTATAACACATGCGGGAAACCATACATCGTATTCTTCACTTTTTCGTACGTAGGATCATCTTTCTTGCTTTCCTGAAAAAACTTCGGTTGGCCTACCAAGACTCACAGACATTTGCTATAAAACAGGGAAAATAGTTTTAAAATAAACGGGGTTGTGTTTTGAGAAACTGATAGATTTTTCTCCAATATAAATAATCTAACACATTTTTCTTAAAATGTATTATGGCTTAGATAAAAATGAATTGGAAGAACTACACCTATATTGCTTTGCCTTAGTCAATTAAAAAATAGTGCAGTAGAATGTCTCACCCTTTCCATCTTTTATTCTGGGCTATACAAGTCAAAGGACCAGACGGATGAGTTATTTGAGAGTCTAAAAGGAAGCCACTTATCAGGAAATCTTAATTTTAGAGGGGATAGAGTTGGTCTGTTGTACATTATAGTAACAGTCTTATGCTTCTAAGTGCTTTAGATTTTCTAAAGCTTCACTCTTTCTTCCCTCTGTCTTAGGATATAAAGTTGGTTCAAATAGGCAATACTTAAGATAAGCACTAATCCAAGGTTTACAAAGATTATTCAGACCAATCACATCAGAAGCAATTAAGTTGTTTGACTCATTCAACCAGATGCACAAACATTACAACAAATTTAACAATGAATAGTGGTTCTAAAACTTAGCAAATTCATCATCCTTATAATTAAATATAGAAACTCAAATATACAAGCAACAACAAGTACTGATATCTCAATCTTGTTTATGTGGCATTCTTTACTAACGTACAGTGAGAGGATGAATTTTTAAAAAAATGGGGTAAAAATGAATGCCAACAACATAGACTTAATTAAAGGGGAGTAGGGCAAATCTCTATAATTTTATCCAATAAATAATACACAATATATAATAATCATTCCTTGTGTGGCATTATTGACTAATTATTCATTTTCCTAAATTGTAAAACCTATTGATTATTTTATATTAGAGGAACCACTGAGGTTTCAAATAGTTTTTTACTAAAACCTGGACTTGACTGCAAATATACACATACATGTCAATTGATTAAAAGAGAGAGAGAGAGAGTATACAACCAATTTCAAAACACAACAAATTGACATTGAAGAAACGGTAAACAATATTCAAGTCAAATATAAAAGGTAAAACAAAAAAAATCGAGACTTTTCCGAAGTACATACCGTTCGGCCGTTTCGGGGAGGCGGGTTCGGACCATGTTTTCCGCTCTGGGTTTCGGAGAGGCAAGCTCCCACAACATTTGAAGACAAACCGAGGATAGAGATGGAGGCCAGTCGTCGTTCCTTATACTTGGAGAATGGACCGATGACAGAGATGGAGGTAGGTCGTGGGTTCGAGAGATGATGGAAACACAAAGGAGTGGGATATTGGCCGAAGTTGTTGTTGTATGAAGTGAGGAAGGCGGAGCGGGAATGACTGGGGATGCGGGAAGGAGGCGTTCGATTTTTGAAGGGGAAGAGGTTTTTTTAGCTCAAGACACATGTGTGTGAAAGATGTGGGAGGATAGGGTAAAAAAAATATAGCCTCTTATATATGGCGTATGTCAGGGTGTAACCAAGGGGTACACCAAACTTTTTGTAATTCTTCCGATAAGTACCGTCTCTAACATTACCAGCGTCGAAATACCTGCTTCCGAACTGTCGGAACCAACCCGGACCCGTATCCGATAGTCAACAAACCAACCTCCTGTCTTCTGCGGTTCTCCCCGGAGGTAGAATGGTAGCTGTCGTTGAAGCTCGTCAGCTCAGCTTTCCCAAGCCTCCGCCGCTTTCTCTTTCTCTATCTTCTCCCCACGTCACATCTCTCCTCTTCGAGCCTACGTTTCTCTCTCTAGCCCTCTCTCACTCCGATTCCTCTTTCTCCCTCTACCATTCTTTCTCTCCCCTTTCCCTCCCTCCCCCCTTTTCAATCCCACCTCCGAAAACCCTAGTCCCGCCGCCGGTCTCCTCCGCCACCTTCCTTATCCTGCGCGACGCTAACCCGAACCCTAATTCTCTATTCATCGCTTCCTCGCCTCTCTCCGGCGGGTCTGCTGTCCTGCTCCGGTTCTACATCCTTAGTCCCGCTAGAAAAGCGTTCATTAGAGCCAGAGTTATATGCAATCACAGTGATATCCGATCGGAAGAGGGAAAATTCGGGGTCGTTTTTGGGGTCAGTCACGGTGTTTCGGTGAAATTGGCTGGGTCAGTCAATGTGTTTGCAATGTACTCGATTTCGAATTCAAAGATTTGGGTTTTTTCCGTGAAGCACCTGGGCAATGATGAAGTGAAATTGATGAAGTGTGCCGTCATTGATTGCTCCATGCCAGTGTTTTCAATGAGTCTTTCATTCGGGTTCCTTATCATGGGGGAAGAAAATGGTGTTAGGGTTCTACCTTTAAGGCCACTGATTAAAGGTACAGCTAAAAAAGATAAAGGCTTGAGTAAGAAGAATACTATCAATGCATTGGAACGAGATAGTAAGATGGGCAATAAAAGAGTGAATTTGCAAAATGGGACGAGTAATGTAGTGAATGGATTTGATTCAAAGATTTTATTCACCAATAGGGCCGAAATTGCGGGCAGTGAAACAGAATTGAAGTTGAACTCTAGTAGTCATTTTGAAAAGAGAAGTGATCAACATTCCCATTCTGGTGCGTGAATTACTTCATATTTCAAGACAGCTTCTTTTTATACCTGTTTGTTAAATACTTCTGGCTCTTATATTCAAAAAAATGGTACTTGAACTGTTGAAAAGTAAATTCTTTATAGTTAAGTTACATTTTTAATACTCTTTAAATAACGTTACAATCTTACAATATTGAAGAACTTATTTATAGGCCGAACAATTAAACATCTTGTCACTATTTATATGCCGAACAATTAAACATCTTGTCATTAACTATAGTAAGATGATGGGATATATTTTTGTAGCATTTCTACATTATTTTTGTGATAGCAGACTAGCAGTGGAGCATTTATGTGGCGAAAAGGATTTCAAACGTTTGTGGCAATTTATGGCGAGCTCATTTCCGCCATTGCTAACTATGATCCAATTTGTCATCAAATTCATTTAGATTAAAAAATGTTTTATGTCAATTGACTTGTATTATACGGTACCTTTGTATATTATGTGAGATGTAGACACATTCTATATAAAATGGGCATGAGGGTTGGTCATTTGGAACAATTTACATTTCCGTGTAGCAAGCATAGGTGCATTATGTACTAATTACATGCATTTGCATATTGAAGTTGAACCATAGACTCCTTGGCGTGAACTTATCATCTTTGAGATGCTTTGAGTTAACTTTCATGCTATGATATTTGTAATTTTAATTTATTTGATGTAATATTACTTGTAGCAAAGTTGAAGTGTGCTAAACTGAGACAAGATTCCGGAGGTTGGGGTGTCAGTTATTTTGCATTCGAGCAGGTGGACAATTTGGAATCTGTGAAAGTGCCTATAAAATCGGTCAAGGCTATAAGCATTCAGGCCTTATCTGCAAGCAAGTTTCTGATATTGGACTCTGTCGGAAATCTGCGCATCTTGTTCCTTGCCACTTATGCCCCTGGTTATAAGATTCATGGTCGCATGAAACGGTTGAGTCTCACCTTGAGAGTGCAGAGGATGGCTGTACTTCCTGATAACTCAGCTAGTATATTTCCCGATTTCTGTGGTTTTACCTTGCTTTGAGACATTCATATTTTAGATTAAGGCTCCCTTTGGTAGCCTTGTCTTGATAATTCTGTTTAGCAACAGAAATACATCTGACTTGCTTATTTGGCTGAAATGGATGTTACCATAAACTTTCCATCTGAGAAACTCAGCAGATTCAGTCATTTTTAGCCAAGTAGAACTACTATAGCCTCTTATGTTAGTCAATAATGATTCATAGTATAGTTTATTATAGCAGAAAATTGTCTTCTAGCTATTTAAATATAGCTATTTAAATATGATGGTAATGGTACTTTTTATGAATATGGATCTTCAGTTTTAAAAGAAAAAACCATCTTTGCAGGTACACAAGCTGTTTGGTTGTCAGATGGGCTCCACAGCATACATGTGATGGTGTTAAATGATACAGAAAGTTCCGTTAGTGAAATAGAAAACAAGGAGACTGATGAGATGCAAACTTCAGGTTAAGCAATCATTTGTTACTATGTTTGTTCAATCATTTGTTACTATGTTTGTTCAATTTCAGATATATGTTTTCCTTTTGTATTTAGTACTTCTGTTATTAAGAAAAATCTATCCACTCACCTCTAAGCTTTAACTTTATAGCCGCTTATCATGCCTGGACTGACTTGATAAGGCATCTACCCTTGCCTAGAAACACTTAATTGTGCACCTATGCATAAACTATCTTACATCAGTTTTAAGATATTAATGCATCTGTGGTCATCAATTCACCTTTAGTTTTTGCTGTTTTTTTGGATGCTAAATGCACATATTTTGTTCTTGTATACCTTTTGAAATAGTTCCACAAGCCATATTTTCAAGCGAAATAATCCAAGAAATTGCACCTGTGACTGCAAATTCAGCCATGCTACTTGGACAAGGTAAGCTGTGAGTGAATGTAATGTTTCACACATATGTGTCCTATGTATTTTCTCCCCTTCTCATGCGGATGGGATTAGATTTTCTGAGGGATTGATGACTTCTACCAAAACCTAAAGGCGAAAAGAAATGTTGGAGAGAATAATCATGTTGTAAACATTCAGAGTTTATGTCTTTATCTTCAATAATTTGTATTGTTTTTGTATGCAGGAAGCATATTTGTATATGCAATTTCCTAATGGTGTTCAATCTCTCTGTCAGTGAATTTGGTGAGTTCTCACACACACGCGCAAACATCATTATTTGATGTTCATGAGATTTTATCATTCCATCATAAGAACTCTGCACATATTATTGGTTTGTACTTTTGTAATTTATAACTCATCATACTGAATTATTTTATTGGTAAATTCAATTATTCAAATCTGCTGTATCTATTAGTCCTTTAAAATTAAAACATGCTGTATAACACATACTGAACTTTATGTGTTTTGTGCTTTGCAGATGATGTGTGCTTCACGGAATGTGTTTTTGGGATTGAGCTCTAAGCACATTTGGTTTAATGGTAAGTTTCTCAAAAAATGATACTACCCCTGTCCCATTAAAGAAGAGACATGAGTAGTGACACAAATATTAAGTAAAGTGGAATTATTTGATATTAAATTAAATTTTTAATGTATAAATAAAGTAAGAATGAAGTGAAACCACACAAATATTATCAAATATGGTATTAAACAAACTTAGTGTGACTGAAGATAAATGAAAGGTGAAAACAAGGATATTGGGACAGAGGGTGTATGAGACTAGTTATTTCACAATACATGACATTCATATTTACGGTCATGGTTTAAAAAGGCACTTACAGGGCGGGTTTTGAGGCGCGGTGAGTTGTACAAATTGGATGTCAGGGTTTCGCTGTTTTTGCATGTCAAGAGGCTCACGCCTCAAAAGTTGAGGCGTGCGCTTTGAGGCGCGCCCTGAGGCGTTTTATGAGGCGGTTTCCTTTGTTTCTCTGTTATTAATGTGCAGTAACTTAAAAAAGGCCCAAGGTACTTCATTTAATAAAAAGCTCAATGTATTTTTTAAATAGAAGTCCATATATTTTACATGTGGCCACACTAAACCCTTCAAGTCTTATTTCATTTAAACACTAACAAGCCTTTTATTCATTTAAACCTGAAGTCCCTAACTTACACATTCTGTTCATTTTTAAAATATCTCCATTCTCCTGCGCAAAGAAGTCTCCATTGTCCTGCATAGTCCCCAACTTCTTACACATTTAGGGATGACCTTGATGTTGATCTTTTTTGGAGGTGGACCATCACATGAAGGTCAAACAAAAGAATTTTCAAGCAAGTAGATGGATATGTTTGTATATCTTTACTTCTTTAGTTCTTTGTTACTTGTTAAACTATTTTAAGTTTTATACTACGTATGTTGTATATTTTGAGGCTTACGCGTCACCTCTTAGGAAAAAACCGCCTTGATACCCGAACTAGCCTTTTTAAACTTTGTTTAGGGGAGTGTTTGGAACTTCGGATTTACTTCTTAAAATTGCTTTTGCTCCTTCAAGGAGCAGAATCAGATTTGAAATATGTTTGAATGAAAGTGCAGAAGTACTTCTGAGTGCTCCAAATTGCTCTTAGAAACAGTTTTTAGAAGCTGGAGAAGACCAACTTCTGAAAAACTAATTTTGATTTTATTTTTTCTTTTTAAAAAAGAAGCAGGAGCAGAATCAATTCCAAACACCCCTTTAATGTTTTGTTTCTTTATTGTAAGTTTGAGCTTTATTTGTCATTTATTAGTTATTTATAGGGGTAATTTGAGTTTACACCCCATTTTATTGTCCAAATTGGACTTTGCACCCCGTTTTTTAAAATCTTTGTATTTGCACCCCAATCCCGTATGAAAAGACAAAAATGCCCCTCGCTTAGGAATATGTCGAGGGCCAACATAATTGTTAATGTAGGGGCACTTTTGTCTTTTCATATGGGGTCAGAGTGCAAATACAAGAATTTTTAAAAATGGGGTTCAAAGTCCAATTTGGACGATAAAATGGGGTGCAAACTCAAATTACCCTTTATTTATATATGTGTGAGAGTGTGTGTGTCGGCAGGGGCGGAGATTTTCTTTTTAGTATACAACAACAACATCCAAGCCTTAGTCCCAAAAGATATTGGGGTCGGCTAACATGAATCAATACATGATATCACCACCAAAAGGAAAAGAAAGAAAATAAAGATAAAAAGATAAGTACTTGCCCCCCCAAATAAATAATAATATAGTAGGAGTTTTACTTGGCCCAATTAATTGATGTCTGCATAATTACTGAAGTATATAAAATAATTTGAAAAGCCCAATTCAAATCAAACCCAATCACAGCCCACCCAATAACCCAAATAATTACTCTGTATAAGAATATGAGGGAAGAAGGGGGTAGATTGTCAGACAGTAAGAACCTAGAGAGTTGGCAGTTTGAACTTGCCAAGACTTGTTCATTTTTTGTAATATCTTTCCTACTGAAGTTAGTTTCTTGATTCGATTCTAGTATAGTTTTCTGGATATTGTGTGTTGTTCTATCACCTAATTCCTCTAATCCATGTCTATTTGGGTCTTCCTCTCTTATCTCTCTCTTCTCCCCACGTTTCAACTCGTGTAACATGTGTAACACTCTGTCTGCTACACACAATGACCAAACCACCGCAATCGAGACTCCCGCATCTTGTCTTCAATATGTGTTACTCTCAACTTTTGTCTCATTGTCTCATTCCACAAACAGTCTTTTCTAGTATGTCAACACATCCAACTCAACATGCACATCTCTGCCACACTCATATTTTGAATGTGACACAGTGTCACTGCTCAACACTCTAAGCCATACAGTAATGCTGACTTAATTGCCATCAGATAAAATTTACCCTTTAGTTAAGTTAGTCAGCGTACCTTGATCACATAGAAATCCTAACACACTCTTCCAATTCATCCATCATGTTCTGATTCTATGAGATACATTTCCATCTAATTCACTATCCTTTTGAAATTATGGAGCCACTGATTTAGGCCCAATTTGGTGTCTAGCTCCAGGATATAATAAAAAAGTCGTCTTCCATATTGAATGAGGAAAAGAATGTGACTTTGCGAGGTTTTTTCTTAAGAAAGTTGTTTTGCAAAAGACCAAAAGTTAAGGTGACAATAAAACTTCTCTTTTTCCAAGGGATGGTAGTTGATGTCACAAACTGAGGTAGGGGCGATATCAGCTCAAGGAGTATGTGGGTGCCAATACAGAATCTCTTATGATTTTGCATGGTTATCTTTTGTACCATACATTTGGTAGTTTTTTTGAAAACTATCTTCTAAAATATGATTTTGTACAATTGTGATATGTAAGATTAATCGTAATCAGAAAACCCATCTTGTGGGGTTTGTAGTGCATGGCTTCATTAAATGGCTTCTACTTTAACTGTTGTTAGTATCTCGTATGGGCATTATGCTTTTTCATTGGTCTGTTTCATTTTGTGAATGTCCCAAAAAGTCACGGCTGACGGCAACCCAATTGGAGACAACGTTTGAATGCCTAGTTTCCCAATATATCCGCGTACACTGCATTGAATTCGCACATGAGTAACTCTAGGCCATTGTTTATGAATCATTTTTTTGATAACAGATGTTCAGAATAGCTTTTGATAACTTCATTGCTCCCTGTAGTGCAATTTTTACTGTATGTAGTTAGAAAGTGCTGTGTTAGTTTATGCTGCTTGATTTAAATCCGGCCATATATGTTTCTTTTTTGGGCCCAATTAAAATATAATCATTAAAGTGAAAGGATGAGAAGAATGAATCAGGTATGGGGTTAGTAAAGCATCTACCAAGGTATATCCATGGGTGTGTCCGGGGGTGTCATGTGAAATAGAGTTTGCAGACACTTGCTAAATCTCCATGCTTCCTGCTATTTCCTGCCAAATTGTAGCTCCTTCCCAAACAATTAAAACAAGTCTTGTTTCAATACTAAAAGTAGTATTACAAACACGAACCTTTCGAGACAAAAGGAACATACTATATCCCTATTCCTTATGCATGTAGTTTCCATTTGGGGTGAGCATGAATCAGTTTAAGTGGATTATAAGTTAAATTTGCACTCCTGATCTGCAATCCGATCCGTGATGTTTCTAATCCAAGCCGACACCACGGATTGGGCAATCACATCTCACATTTAGAGAGTATATTAATTTAGAGAGTAGTATCTACAAATGCAATTGTGGTTCAAATTATGTATTCCACAGATTCACATACACTCAAAGTCGCTTTGAACCTCTAATGGTAACACTTTTGGACTTTTGTATTACTACTCTCCACAGATTATGTTAATTATAATTGATCTCTTGTATTACTTCTCCAGTCCACAGGAGTTTTGCAAAAGCGGTCTCAATATGGTTGCTGAAGGTCTACATTCTCAGAGCAATCCATGGAAGAATGCTGCTGCACATCTTGTGTGCTCACCTGCGTGGTAAAAAAACGGGTGGTAAATCATGTGACCAATGCAGCAGTTGGTTTTACCCATTGGACTTGGTTCTTCAGGTTTCCGGGTCAGATATGAAAGCGGCCATCCTCTGACCATATGTCTGTTGGATATTGTTGTTCTTCTAAGCTGACATTTGTTCTGAAAAAAACTGGGAAGGATGACACTGCTATCTCTAAGTTTAGACAATCCCCCCATCCCACGGTTGACCAGAAGAAGTAAATTTGGATCTGTGCATCCGACAATAAATTATTCTGTTTTCTTTGGTACGTAGTACTACGTATATTGTATGGCTATTTGTAATGGAAATAATAAAAATGTTAAAAATAGGTATTTTAGGAAGAGTGAATGGAAAAGTTGGGGTGGGATCCAATCCCCCATTGACTCCCTTCGGTGGTAAAAAAAATGACGTGCAGTACAGGACGCCAGGGCCCAGCGAGCGCACAGACAAAAAGTTGGTACCAACGGCTGAGATGCCTTTGGTACTGAATGGGAAAACTGATTGAACGGCTCAAATTAATATCCAATGGTTGAAATAATGGAATTTTACTTGAAACTATTTAACTTATGCAACTCACCGAATGTAGTCCAAAATATTAATTTAAAATAATTTTATTTATTTTGAAAAGTGCAGTTTTTAATTGAGATATTACCCGAAATAGGACTAAAAAAGTTTGAAAATTTCAAAATAGTACTGTCATGTTTTGCCAGCACCAGACTTCAAACATGACATTCCAAACTTGGCAATAATTACTCATACTTTGGGAATAAAAAACATGATAGTCCTATTTTGGAATTTTCAAATTGTTTTTGTTTTTCAGAAATAAACTCAAAATTATGTATAATAATTTGAGTACGGAGTAATAATATTTATGAACTCTATATGTAAAAACATATGAGGATTGGATATTGATTTGGATGGTGTAGGGAAAAACTGTATTCACATTTGGAAATATGTTGTACGTGTATAGAAAAGATGATACTCCGTATTTGAGTCTATTGACATTGGGGTTAGGGGGTATGAGTAGGGTTGGACCGGTTCCGGTTCGGGCCCGGGCCCGGCCGGGCCTCAGTTCAGAAAAAGGAGGCCCGAGCCCGAACCGGTGGTGGGCGGTTCCGGTTCCGGGCCAGAACCGGGCCGGGCCGGGCCGGGCCACCCGGAATGTTTTTTTTCTTCTTCTTCTCTTATTTAACCCCCTACCCCTCCCCCTCCTCCCCAAACCACCTCAAATGGCCCAAAATACTTAATTCAACCCAAAACTTAAAAAAATATCAAAAAAAAAAAAAAAATTAAATTTCGGCCCGAACCGGGCCGGGCCGGGCCGGTTCACTAAACTGGAGGCCCGGGCCCGGACCGGTATACCACCGGGCCGGGAGGCCCGAACCGGAACCGAACCGGTTCACCGGGCCGGTCCGGGCCCGCACAGTAGCGGGCCGGTCCGGTTGGCCCGGCCCGAGTCCATCCCTAATTGACAATGTACATAGCCTAGTCATGGACCCGGTTCGGGCCGCCCGGCCCGGGACCGGCCCGGCCCGCCACTGTGCGGGCCCAGAACCGGCCCGGTTCTCGGGTCCGGGTCGGGCCTAGGCCCGGTGGGGGGGGGGGGGTCCGGGCTCGGGCCTTGTATTTGGCGAACCGGCCCGGCCGGGTCGGGCCCGGGCCCGGGCCCGGGCCGAATTGATTTTTTTTTTTTTTTTTTTTCATTTTTTGGGGTTAGCCGGGTTGGGCTTGATGGTTAGGAGGGTTTGGGGGGTGGGGGGGGGGTGAGGGGGGGGATTAGGAAAGCAAAAAAAAAAAAAAATATGACCGAACCGGAGGCCCGGCCCGGCCCGGCCCGGCCCAGACCCGGACCGGACCCGGTGGCTACCCGGGCCGGTCCCGGGCCTTCCTTCCCAAAAAAAAAGCCCGGCCGGGCCCGGCCCGGAACCGGAACCGGCCCGGCCCGGGTCCATGACTAACATAGCCTAAGCCCAAAGTACAGTCATGTTCTCAGGTTGCTTCATATGTGAGTCATGTGACCAAATGTTGGAGGTGGCATTTCTTTAGTCCACCTGCTTCTAAACATAGCAGTACAAAACTCTACAAGGCTCGTTTGGTAAATGGTGAATTTAGTTGAAGTACTGATTGAATAATTGGACTTCTCAAGAGTCAAGATTCTTATCAAAATACTGAAGTTGAATTTTTGAAGCTTTAGCAAAGAAGATATATGAAGATAGAAGGGTCTTTAGTATCATTTCAGAAACTTTAGCTTAAAAGTAATTTGTATTTCTCCACTTAGTGGTTAATGCAATTCTTTATTATTCGATTTTGAGTAGTAGTATCAGATTTCCATCATACTTTTGTTGTGTTTTTTAACCATCTAAATTTTAATCACGAGCATTGATTTATTATTATAACGAGATCACCAAATATCTATTTCAATCACCAACTAATTCAACTAATAAAAAACGTACAAGAATATTATTAAAATAAAACGTATTTACATAAATATGACTATTCATTACTACAACCTAGTATTGTGGTAACTTAAGTTCAAAACTGGAACATAAATTACTATGATTTTATTACTACTCTAGTAAGTAAACATATTTTTGTAAATCATCTTTATTTTGGTCATATTTATGTGATTATTTCATAAAAAACGTACAAGTTGGTAATTTTGATAATTAAGTAGAAATAAGAGGTCCCCAAACCTGTACTAGCATTTGAGATTCTAACTTCTAAGGTCAACTTAAGGAGTGTTTGGGTTTGCTTAAAAAAAGCACTTTTCAGCTTTTGGCTTAAAAAAACTTGAAAAGAGTGTTTTCAAATGACAGCTTCTGCTTAAATTAATCACTTAAAAGCTAAAAGCTGGAAGCAGGTAGAAGGGTGCTTTAAACTGCTTCTCACTTTTTCTATTACACAAAAAATACTTATTTTACCAAACACTACCAACTTTTACTTTTCCAGAATCACTTTTTTCTCAAACACTATCAACTTTTACTATTAATCATTTTTCCCAAAATCACTTTAAAAAATCACTTTTTTTAAAGTTGAAGCAACCTTCGCTTAAATTTGTCTTACTTTTCTCGATCACAAGCACTTCTGTTCCATAAAAGTTGATTTTTTTTTAGTTAAAAGAGCATATCTATGTATCTTTGCTTCTATTAAACGGTATAGTGCTAAACTAAACACATTCTTAAACTGTCATAATCACTTTCTTTTTAGATCAAGGACAAAGTATTGATCATAAGAAAAAAACAAAAACTTTGCTTCTGCGAATCAGGAGTATCATTTAGAAGCTGTTCTCTTCACCTGATCTGAATATTTCTGATCTGAATTTTTTAAGTTCTGATCTGATCTGAATTTTTCTGATCTGATCTGATCTGAATCTTTCTGATTTGATCTGAATGTTCCTGATCTGATCTGAATGTTCCTGATCTGATCTGAATGTTCCTGATCTGATCTGAATCCTTCTGATCTGATCTGAATCTTTCTGATCTGATTTGAATATTTCTAAAATTATAATTACAATTATAATTACTATAATTATAAATGTAATTACACATATATAATTTAAATATAATCATAATTATAATCATAATTATAATCATAATTATAAAAATTATAATTATAATTATAATATTTATTTCTATAATTTTAATTGTAATTACTCCGTATAATATGATAATAACGAAAACAAAACTAATATCAATAACAACAACAACCATATTAGTAGTAAGAATAATAATCATGATAATAATAAATATCATAATAATACTAATAATAATAATCATAGTAATCATAGTAATAATAATAATAATAATAATAATAATAATAATAAGAATAAGAATAATAATAATACTAATAATAATAATATCAATAATAATATTAATTATAATAATTACAATAACAACAACAAGAATAATAATAATTATAATTATTATAATTATTATAATTATTATAATTATTATTATAATTATTATTATAATAAAAAGGATAAATCATGTCTGAACTTTTCTGATTTGATCTGAATGTTCCTGATCTGATCTGAATGTTCCTGATCTGATCTGAATGTTCCTGATCTGATCTGAATGTTCCTGATCTGATCTGAATCTTTCTGATCTGATCTGAATGATTCTGATCTGAATCTTGCTGATCTGATCTGATCTGATCTGAATTTTTCTGATATGATCCGATCAGATCTGAATAAAATAATAATAAACAATAAGTAATAAGATTAAGACGAACAGAACAGCTTCTTATAATGTGAAATGCCACTTGTATAAGTTCAAGCATTGACATCTGATAGAGTATATGGGCCTGGACCCCATGGCCCACATACCCAATAGCCCAAAAGACACCAGCGGGGCACCCGCATCGTCCAGATGACCCGCGACGTCCAAAGAAGTAGTCATCGGGAATCGTCGCACCACGGCCAGAGGGCCGCATCGTCCATGGGCCGCATCGTCCATGGACCGCATCGTCCATGGACCGCATCGTCCATGGACCGCATCGTCCATGGACCGCATCGTCCATGGACCGCATCGTCCATGAACCGCATCGTCCGAACTTCGCCGGGCAGAATGTACTTTTCTATTTTATGTACTAAGTGTTGTACTCAGCCCATTAGTGGCCTTATTTGCCCAAAGAAGGCATGATTATTGTAATGGGCCTCCTAAGCCCAAGGCTAGGGGCCCAAATCCACATTTTTACCTATAAATAGACCCCAAGGGGCTAATTATGGGGGATTCCTTCCAATTTGAGAAATATAATTACTCACTTTCTCTCTCTAGCTCTCACTTCTCTCTAGAATTAATACTCTATCAACATCATTAGAGGATGCTGATGCAGACCATCTCTTGCATGGAAAAGGAGACAAGGGCCCCTATGATCTCATGCATGACTTCTCCATAACCCCTTCAATCCTAACCACTTTTTCTAGAAGAATGCTAGATATATTACGGGCCCGTTTGGTGACTATGCTTTTCGGCTTATCAGATTTATCAGCCAACTTTTTAACAAAACACGTAACTTTTGATTTCGCGCGCTGAATTGTGCAATAATAAGAAAAAGTAAGGTTGAAGTCACTTTTCTGACTTTATTGGCTGGAGTTGCTGTAGATGATCATTTTATCTATTTTTTCATATTTTTTTTTCATTTTACTAATAAATTTTCCCCCATAAATTAGCAGAATCTGCCAATACAGCCATTTTAACCAGAACTTTATAAATTTTAGCAGAATCAGCCAATTCAGCCGATTTCAATGTTACCAAACGGGCTCTACATCTTATTTGACACTTGCTTTCATACTTCATTCTCACAATATTATTTGTAAGGCATTAGATAGGAAATAGTTGATCTACGGTCCACCATTGTCCATCGCCACCGTGAAATGA